TCCTCCTTTATTTCTTTCGGATTAAAGGAGGAAGGCATGAGGGGAGCCCCTGCCTATGTGAGTTTCATAAGGGGTTAAAAGGCAATCTACTCCTGAAAGGACCAAAATAACTTTCTCCCTCTCAAGTAAAAATCAGCAGTTTTGCCATAGTGCTTCCGAAATTAAAAAAAAAAAAAAAGTTTCCATGGGGAAACACAAATGCAAAAGTTGGGTTATAAGAAAAGCGGGAGCCATGCAGCTGCTTGTTAACAGCTGACCCGCTGCTCTGGCCCTTACTGTAGGGGCTGCTCTGGTCCTTACTGCTCCTCTGGCACTGGTTGTCGCGGTGGTGGTACTGGTCACTCTGGTCTAAGAGGAAGACTCTGTTTGATGTCCTGAGGAGAGACAAGCACAAGCGGTCATTAGGAGGCGCTCCCTGAGTCCCTGCCTGAGGCCTAGCTTAGAAGCCAGTGCCTGAGAATGATGCAGGAGAGAAGGAACATTCCTGCCGCCCCTGTGAGGGCCCACCTGCGCTCTTTCCCTGTCCACATGGCTTCCTGCAGCGCACTGCAGCTTGCTTCCAAACCTCTGCAATCTCCAGTAAATTTCAGACTTGGTGCCTTCACAACTGTCTGACCCCAGCACTCCTCCCCAGCCTCAGCCAGCCAGACCCTCAGAAAAGACAGAGCTTGCCCAAGGCCACACAGCCAGCAAACAGGTGTCTTCAAAGCTTTGCCACGTGGATGCACCTGTATCTGTCAGGCTCTGGGGGGTGGGAGGTGGTGGGGGGGAGGACACTACTGAGAGGGAGAGCAGGCCATTAAGCGGCTGATTAACAGTTATCCCCAGCAGACAGTTAAGAGTACACATATAAGGAAAAGTCCCAGGAGTCCAGAGGCCTCTGGAGCCTTAAGGGGAGGAGACGGGGTGGAGACGAAGAGGAAGAGGACAAAAGGGGCTCAGAGCAGAAATGAAGGAAGGGCAGTAGTTGGTTTTGCATCTCAACCGTTTTTCTTGATTATGCAGGACAGCCCCAGGTGTGTCCCCCTACCTTACCACCATTTCTGCACGGGTGGAATTCCGTAAAAAGGAGCATCAAGGACAGCCTGACAAGCTGAACGAACAAATAATGTTGGCAGTGTGCAGGGGGGCACCTACCTGGCTGGCTTTAGTGTGGGGACGGAGGATCATGTGCTAACTGTGTACCCGTGAAGCTTCTTTGTACTTTCCCTTTATTTCCTTTTGAACACCAACCAATTCCTTCTTCCTAACCTGCTCCTGCTTGAGGCCCCGTCCAAAACTCGGCCTAGGTCTCCAGGTAACAGGGCTGCTCTGCCATGTGCCTGCCATGTCCCTGCCATAGCCTGACACTCAACGTTGGTTCCTATGTCTTCTCGTATCCTTTATCACCACATTGGCCAATCAATTTTCCAAAATCCAGCAAAATCTCCCCGGCATTAATGTCATGGACTTTTACCTGCTTTTCCCCAACATTAAGAAAATACCTGAGGGGCCCCTGGGTGGCTCAGTCGGTTAAGGCCTCAGGCCATGATCTCATGGTTCAGGAGATCAAAGCCTGCATTGGGCTCTGCACTGACTGTGGGTTCTCTCTTCCTCTCTCTCTGCCCCTCCCTCACTCATGCTCTCTCACTCTCTCAAAATAAATTTTTAAAAAAAGGAAAATGCCTTGAACCCCACTTCCCCTTTCTCTTCTCTAAGCCCAACAACCACACTTCTACTTTGCCACATCATCTCTCTTACTCGCATTGTAACAAAATATGTGTTCTACCCCTGAGAAAGACAGGTAGGAAATGCCTGAAGAGAAAATCTTGAAATGGAGTTACAGAGCAAGATTTATGATGATGAATTTTAACTATGATTAAAATTAGTTGACATGTGGAATTTAAAGTATTATTTTGGTATATTCAGGATTTAATAGCATCTGACAGTATAGGCTTGGTCTCTTATGTTTTAACATACCATGAAATCATACCTTACATTTGTAAAATATTTTTTTAAAGTGTAATTTTTTTATCTCTTTGTTTGATCACAAAACTCCCATGTTACCTAAGTCAAGGAAGTATTTCCTTTCCTCCTCTTACAAAGAAAAGTAAGACAAAAAGATGAGCTGCCTTTCCAAATTAGTATTAATTCTCAAAGCCATGACTAGGTTCCCTGACCCTAGATTGTCAATTGAGAGCTGGGTAGAGGAAACACAGATATAATACATTTCAGGAACATGTGCTTGCTGGTTCCATAACGGGCATTTCATTTTCCCAGTTGCCAATCTTACACACAACCCCTTGACTCTGCTCTTAAATGGCCATTCTGTCAGCCTTGGATGTGTCCAGATGGAAACTCCCTCTCCGTGTTTCCAGCTGGTTATTTCCTAGGAGAATTCCAACCCTCCCCCACCCCCTGCTTCCCTACCAGCCACAACATGAAAATAAAGCCACCCTACACAGAGGCTAAGATTAGCGCAAGATGGCGAGCACAGAACACACAGCATAGCATTCTCCAATCACATATCCATAGCAGACATTTCTAATACACCACCGCAGCATTTCCTCCTGAACCCAGAATTCTTTTCTCCACCAGGTTCGCTAGGCAGCCACTAC